CTCCCAACTTAAAGTCATCCTTAATGCCTTTCTTTTTCACCTTCTGCATCCTGTGGGTTTATCTTTAAAATGTATCCAGAAATGGCAGGGCATGGTGGCCCACCCCTGTAATCCCAGCACTTTGGGAGGCCAAGGCGGGCAGATCATAAGGTCAGAAGTTTGAGACCAGCCTGGCCAACATGGTAAAACCCTGTCTCTACTAATAATAGAAAAATTAGCTGGGTGTGGTGGTGCGCGTCTGTAGTCCCAGCTACTCAGGTGGCTGAGGCAGGAGAATCACTTGAACCTGGGAGGTGGAGGTTGTAGTGAGCTGAGATCGCGCCATTGCACTCCAGCCTGGGTGACAGAGCAAGACTCTGTCTTCCATCTCAAAAAATAAAAATAAAAATACACACACACACACACACACACACACACACAGAATCTGAACTACTTGTGAACACCTTCACAGCTTCCACCATCATCATCATCTTCCCTTGGATTCACAGTAATAGCCTCCCAGACTGTCTCCCCAATGCCTCCCTTGTCCCTCTATGGACCATTCTCCGCACTGCAGCCAGAGTGATCTCAAAACACAGATGGCTCATGCTTCTCCTCTGCTTATGACCCCGTGACTTCCATCTCTCTTGATCTTACCACGGCCTACAGGGCCCTGTCTGATTTCAGCTCCTGTAACCCCTCTGACTTCATCCTCTTTATCTTCTTCAGCCTCACTGACTTCTTCGCTATCCTTTAAACAAGCCAGCCAAGCTCCCACCTTGGGGTCTTTGTCCTATTCCTTCCGGCCAGAACCCTCCTCCCTCTACATGGCTTGCTCACCTCCTTAAGTCTGGCCAAATGTCCCTTTCTCAATGAGGCCTTCTCTCACCATCTGACTTTATTTGTTTGTTTGTTTGTTTGTTTGTCTGTGATGGAGTCTCACCCTGTTGCCCAGGTTGGAGTGCAGTGGCACAATCTCAGCTCACTACAGCCTCCATCTCCCAGGTTTGAGCTATTCTCCTCCTTCAGCCTCCAGACTAGCTGGGATTACAGGTGCCCACCAGCACGCCTAGCTAATTTTCGCATTTTTAGTAGAGACAAGGTTTTACCATGTTTTTGTGTTTTTAGTAGAGACGAGACCCGGGTGGCCTCAAACTCCTGACCTCAAATGATCCACCCACCTCAGCCTCCCAAAGTTCTGGGATTATAGGCATGAGCCACCACGCCCGGCCTGACCATCCTATTTAAAACTGACTTTTTACGTCTGTAAGCCCAGCACTTTGGGAGGCTGAGATGGGAAGACTGCTTGAGCCCAAGAGTTCGAGACCAGCTTGGCCAACATGGTGAAACCCCCCTCTCTACAAAAATATACAAAAATTAGCCAGGTGTGGTGGTACATGTCTATAGTCTCAGGTACTCAGGAGGTTAAGATGGGAGGATTGCTTGAGCCCAGGAAGTCAAGGCTGCAGTGAGCCGTGATCACACCACTGCACTCCAGCCTGGGCGACAGAGTGAGACTCAGTGTCTAAAATAATAATAATAAACTAAATAAAATAAAATAAAATTGTGGCACTCTCTACTCCCCCTTCTGCTTGAGTTTTCTCTATAATTCTTAACACTGACTAATGTATTTGTGTGTGTGTAATATTTTGAGATAGAGTTTCACTCTTACAAAATTGTTGTGTACTATGGCAGGATCACAGTTTGCTGCACCCTTGACCCCTGGCCTCCTCAAGTAATCCCTCTGCCTTGGCCTCCCAAAGTGCTGGGATTACAGGTATCAGCCATCATGCCTGACCATATATTTATTTTTAACACTGGCTAAAATATAATTTATATATTAATATAGATATGTATTTATTTATATAAATACATTTATTTTGTTTATTGTAAGCGCCATAAGGGCAGGGATATTTGTATAATTCATGTTGTACCCTAGTGGCTGGTATAGTGACTGGCACAAAATTGGCACTCAATAAATATTTGATGAATGAGTGAATGAGAGCAGTGGTCTGAGCTTCATAGATCCCATGTCTCTCTCAGTCCTAAGGGAGTTAGATGCCTGTTCCCTGAATTTGATTACTCATGAAGGAACATTCTAGAGCTCCCCATTGCTAAAGAATCAAGTTTCAGTTCCTCAGCCTGACACTGCAGGGTGTAGATGAACCATCCCTTACTTATGCCTCCAGGCTCAGAAGGGGCCTTCAGGCCTTGTCCTGCAAATCTTCCCTGACCCTCTGGCCCCAAGTTAGTCACTTCCCCTTCAGGCTCAGCTACCCTTAGTTCAGCGCCAACACCAGATTACCTGAGGGCATTGCTCCAAAATTGTTGTGTACATCTCTGTCATCCCCTGCAAAGAGGGTGGGACCCTTGTCGGTCAGCTCTGCATTCCCCCAGTTGTGCCCAGTCCAGGGCTGGAACCACTGGGAACCCAGGAACCGTGGACAATGGATGTCTGGATTCCCAAGTCTGCTCCTTCCTTGGGGACGTGGGTGTGTGGCTTCTTCACCAGGGCCCAAGCCCCATTCCCTTTTTCTCCCCAGCCCCCTAAGGGGGCTGGATGCCTGGACTCACTTGCTCCCGAGAGGACCTTCTATGACTCCCCACTGCAGAAGATTCAAGTCTGAATGTTTCAGCCTGACATTCAGCTCCTGCTAATGTCTCCAGCCTCTACTTCCCTTCCCGCCGAGCCCTCCGGGTTATCACAAACACCACACAGCACGAGGCCCGGTTCCTGATAGTTTGTTAAGAGAGGTGGGCAGGCCAGGCTGGCTCCCTGGGGGTGACTTCACATCTTCTCCCTGTTGTCATTAATAGTCCTGAGCTTGGCTCTGCCCAGCAGCTGTGTGTGTGTGTGTGTGTGTGTGTGTGTGTGTCTGAGCCCACGCAGGTACACACACAAAATAGAGGGAGAGAGAATGAGAAAACACTTCTATCCCTTCCAGGCGAAAGCCAATCAGGCTCTGTGAGGCAGATGGGGGTTCTCTCAGGCGCCCACTTCCCATCATGCCCCTGCCTCTCCAGGGCTCCCCTGATGGGAGTCATTTGGAAAAACAAATCTAAAACCTTCACAGATTAACCCCTGCCTTCCCTCAGGACCCGGCTCTGTGCAGAGCTGCACTGGGAATGGAACATCTGGGTCCCCTGAACAAATACGAACCCCTCCAAGGATGTGCTCTTGTCCTGACAACCACACTCCCAGCTGGCATCTGCTGTGCAGGACAGGAGGGGGTTCAGTGGCTAGGGGAGTGGTGCTGTGCCTTACATACAGAGGCTCAGTGACTGGCACCCTTCAGGGGACCTCCTACCCAGCCCATTTTGTTGCTCTCCTGTCTCCATAAGAAGGGGAGACTCCCCTGCCTCTGGAAGCCCCCAGTCTGAGGGGCATCACAGGATCCCTCAGGCAGGCACCAAGTGCTGGATTCCTGAGCTGGTTCAGTCTGGAGGGGAATGGTGGGACTGAGGAAGGGGATACCCCTTAATCCTTCCCTTTTTGAAGCTTCCACCCTCAGCTCTTTTTCATCTTTCCATCAGGCCCCCCAGTACCTCCATGACGGTCATTTAGTCTGTATAGTTCCCCCCACCCCTCCACCCCCGTACTCTCCATCTCTCTCTCTTTTTTTTTTGAGGTAGAGTCTTGCTCTGTTGCCCAGGCTGGAGTGCAGTGGTGTGATTTCAAGCAATTCTCTGCCTCAGCCTCCTGAGTAGCTGGGAGTACAGGTGCCTGCCACCACACCCGGCTATTTTTTCTTTTTTTTTGTATTTTTAGTAGAGATGGGGTTTCACTATCTTGGCTAGGCTGTCTTGAATTCCTGACCACGTGATCCACCTGCCTCGGCCTCCCAAAGTGCTGGGATTACAGGCATGAGCCACCCTACCTGGCCTCACCGCCATACTCTCTAAAACCTAATCATGGGCAGTATCTAGCCTGGGGGACAGGCCCTGTGAAAAGCAGTTGAGGAAAAGCAGTTTCCCCCAGAACCAGCCTTCCACCCCGTAGTGATTGGACCCTAAGGAGGGGGGACACACAGGACCACAGGACAGGGCCCTGGAGGCCGGCTCAGGACGCAGTCTAGCGTCACCCTTAGTCCCCTGAGCGCAGTCTTCTGTCTGCAGCATTTGCCTCCATTACTTCATGGTGCCTGGTCCTCAGCTCCCTGTCCCACCCTGCTTCTTCCCATTCTGTGGCCCCAGAGATGACTTCTAACACTCACAGCCTCATTTTGGTTTTCAGGCAAGCTTTACTGGGATTGCAGTTTCACTAGTAGGGATGGAAGATATCTATTCGTCCCCGTTTTGAAGCCCTTTTCCCCTCTGAGGGAGCTGAGGGAAAAACACCTTTATGCGGGGAACTCACTGCTTCTCCTGCTGGGCAGTTCTCCTGAGAGCTAACCGCAGCCTCCATGGTCCAGTGCAGAGTAAGTGGATGTTCCGTGGCTGCAAGCCCAGATGTCTGGCTTCCCAGTTGGCTGGGAGAGAGGTAGGGGTCTGGGAGCCAGTTCTGGGGACTCACCCTCTAGTGCATCCAGGCCAAGTCCCAAGGAGAGGACGATCGCAGGCAGGCATGCTCCCCAGGGCCACAGACCAGGTACTGCCATTGTCCCAGTCCTGGCTTGTGTCCAGTCCCAGCTCTTCTCCTGGTGGCTCTGGGGAGAAGAGTTTGACAAGCCCTAAGGGACACAGAGACCAGGGTTCAGATAGGAGACGGAGGGGGCAGGGGCAGAGGCAAGGAATCCCACACAGCAGGAGACAGAAAACAAGAAATGAGAGTCACAGAGACACAAAGATAGTGACAGGCAAGTGGAGACAGAGATGGGGACAGAGATGCAGACAGTGACGGGTGGAGTCTCGGGCCTCCAGAGGCAGAAAATGACACAGGGTTCTGAGCAAAAGGCAAGCCAAGAGGCCGGCCAACCCTGAGGGCGGAGCAGAAGGCTGGGGACGCTCCCAAGAAGGGCAGCATGAGACTCCACAGGGAGAGTCTCCCTGGATCCTTCTGGGCCCGCGGCCCCCCAGCGCTGGCTGACCGCGCTGGCTGCGGTCTCTCCCAGGGCGGGCACGCAGGGGCCGCGCCCAGCCCGCGCCCAACTCCTGCCCTCCCTGCCCCCCGCCGAAACAGATTGGTTCACAGGGATCTCTCAGTTCTCTCCGCCCCTCCCCCGCCAAGCCAAAATATTTAGCCTGACAACTGAGGGGAGAAGAGATCTGTTGGGGAAATAAGGCCAAAATACAGGGGAGGGTGGGTCAAGAACTGAGCGTCCCCAAACTCCGCTGTGGCTGCGACGGGTCCCCCCAACCCCTTAGCCACACCGCAGGCTTCTTCCAAGTGGGCTGCACGGCCGGAGGGGCAGCCAGCGCCCGGGCTTCTGGGGAGCGCTGTGTCTAGATTCTGCTCCCCGGTGCCTTGACATCTGCGGGGTAACTTCTGGCAGCCTCGACCCGGGAGAACCTGGACAGCCCATGGCCTCTCGGAGCCTCTCTCAGCCTCCGAGGAGGCCGCCTTGTCCTCTTTGGAGACCCCTTAGTGCCAGGCTCCCTCACTGACTAGTACCTTGATTCTGACCAAGATCCCGATCAAGAGGGCGATCACTGTGTGGGGCTCTGCCTCCCTTTAGTCACTTTCTTGAGCTCAGGCTTCTCGGTCAGTCTGTGTGTCCCTGTCTCGGGAACTTGGGGGGCCGTCCGTGCTGGGGTCTTGGCAGAGAGGAGAACCGTGACCCTCTAGGAGGCTGTCCTTCGCTTGCTCCCTGGGGCCTTACCTGTCCCCCCGCCAAGAGAGACCCCTCTCCCCCTCTCTCTCCACAGCTTGAGACGGATGGGCTCCGGCAGCCACAGAGGCTGGCGCGGTGGGAGGGGTTAGGACCAGCCTTCTGCTGCCCTGGGTGCTGGAGATCCCGGGACTTTCCAGGTGCGCGGCCTCCAGGGGCGGACGGGTCCTCAGTTCCACACGGGGGCGGCTCCCGCGTCGGAGGAGCTAAGAGAAGATCTATTAATTTCTTCACGAATAAATCGATGCTCTTGTCAGGGAGGCGATCCATGTCGGCCCTGTCCTGCCCCGGGGCCAGCGCTGACTGGCCGGGGTCAGGGACTGAAGCTGGGACCCGAAACGTTGCGCATTGGGGGCTGCAGATCGCGCCCCCAGCCACCGGCCCGGGCGGGGAGCTTGTACCTTTGCGCGCGGGCTTCTCGCGCCACCCTGTGGCCTCTCTTGGAGGCGCGGTCTTGGCTCACTCGACTCCCTTCGGCCGAATTAGGCGACCCCTTCCCTTTCTCTGGCCGGTCAGTGTCTTCCTCCCAGCTTCTGCAATTGATCCTTTTATAATCCTTTTCCTTTTCTTCCCAGAGTTCGGAGTGTTCTACCTAACTTACTCCAGGTGACATGCGCACTTCCCCAGGCACTCGCTCCGTGAGGATGGAGCGCCGAGGCTGGGGCTGGCTAGGTTGACCTGGACGGCAACCTTCACTAACTCAGTCATCTCCCCGCCTCCCCAAATGTAAAAATGCAGCTGCTTTAAGCTGGGAGAAATAACGTATCAATTTCCCACTCCCAGCCTCAGCAGACACCTCCCAGCCGTTCTGCAGCAGCCCCTCCGCATCTCCCGGAGCTGGGGGCATCCTCGGGGAGAAGGTTGACCCTGGGGGCCCCTAACAGCGGAGGGGACGGAGTTGGGGGCGTCAGAGGGGAGGAAAGGGGGTGGAGACAAGGGGCGGGGCGGGGACGGGCGGGGGCCTCTGGCTCCGCCCTTTCCTGGCGGCTGGGTCTTTAACACCGCCCGGCGCACATGTCGGGGGAGGCCCGGCAGCTGCAGCTGCGAGCGCACAGACGGCTGCCCCGCCAGAGCTAGGCGGGCACCGCCGCGATGCTGCGAGGCGGACGGCGCGGGCAGCTCGGCTGGCACAGCTGGGCTGCGGGGCCAGGCAGCCTGCTGGCTTGGCTGATGCTGGCATCTGCAGGCGCCGCACCCTGCCCCGATGCCTGCTGCCCCCACGGTCCCTCGGGACTGCGATGCACCCGGGATGGGGCCCTGGATAGCCTCCACCACCTGCCCGGCGCAGAGAACCTGACTGAGCTGTGAGTGTTCGGCGGGCGAGGGGGCTCGGGGACAGGCAGGCATTGCCGTGCCCCGAGGGCGCTAACTCGCCACTTGTTTGCTGGGTCAGGCAAGGCCATCACAGTGGAGGGCTGGCACCACGCAGTCTTCGGCGGTGCCCGGGCGTTCCTCCGCAGCCGCCGCTGCCCTAGCAAGCTTTATGGTGACAGCCTGGATGTTTCCTAGTGTTCAGGGCAGCTGGGCAGCCGGCTTCAGGGAGATCGAGTGGGGAATCTCCGTGGACCAGGTCTGAAAGAGCCCAGTCGTCTAGAAGCCACACTTTCTGGAGCTCAGCCAGGAGCCCCTGCCCTGTCCCACTAGAGAAGCGTGGTGCGGAGAAGTCCCCAGTTTGACACCCTTACTGCCAGCCCCCACCCATTTCCTTGTTATGAGGCAACCCCAGCTTTTCTCCTGGAATTGGGGATTGAGCTGACATTGGTGGGAGGTGGTGAGGAGCGTAGCTGGGTGGTTGAGCTCTCCTCTTTGCATTTTTACCATTCCTTGTCCCAGGACCCCTTGATTTGGATCTGGGAAATGGGACCCCCTCCTGGATTTTCTCTCCCCACTCCCATCTCCCTCTCCGACTGGGACTCTCTACCTGGGGTGGGGAGTCAGGGTCCTTGCTGAGAGACCCTCCTCCCTCTGGGGCACAAAACTGGGAGGAAGCTTCAGCATTCTGCAGGATTCTGACATTCTGCAGGAATTGGTTACAAAATACTCAAGTACTTTTTAGCAGCGGGTGAAACCTATGGTAGCATGCGGTAATGATTGGCCTGGAGGTACTCAGGCATCACATGGTGATGGCTGGAAAATACTTGAGTATTACATACGAACATCGTGGCCAGTGAGACGTCTAGAAGAGGGGAGGAACTGCTAGAAAATTCTCCTCCTGTGGCCTGGGGTTTAAAAGGTGGACAAGGAACCCTAGCCTAGTGCAGTGAGGGACTGGAAGGTATCCGAGGTGGAGCCCATCACTGTCTGGAAGTTTCTTGAGCACCTCGAAATAATTGGCACTGAGTTACTCGGGTTATCTCATGGTAATTAACGGGAAGGTACTCAATTTCCCGAATGGCTCTAGGGAGACCAGGAGTAGAGGAGATGGCTTAGTCTTGGTCTGGCTTAGGTCTCTGCATGATGGGAGGGGGCATGAGATACGGTCTGCCAGTCCTAGTGCAGTTCTCATCACCCTGGGCCTTCAGACTGGGGTCCAGACTCCTGAGTGCTCCCCATCAGGGCTCACATTTCCCAACTCCTTCTAAACCCCAAGTGGGTCTGGCAGGGTAGGGATGGGAGTGGTAGGGGGAGTGGACAGGTCAGGGCTGGGGACTAAGTGGCGGGCAGTCTGCAGGCATGAGCTGAGATGTCCCCCTGGGTGGGGCTGCAGCCTGACACCCCCTCCCCACTGCCTCCACAGACCCCTCCCTTCTCCCTCACCCGCAGAGCTAACGAGCAGATAATGGACTCGAATAGACAGATTGATTATGAATCCAAACGAATGAGGCAGCTTTGAGGCAGCTTTGAGCAACCTGGCCTGACAGCTCGCACACACCCTGCCAGCCCACCGCATTCTCACCCCCTCCCTGGGTCCCTCCAGCTTGAAACCCTCTGGGCAGGGGCTGGGGGTGGGTAGAATAGAGAGATATGCCCTCCCTCAGAGTCAGTGGAGGTTACTTTCTAGGCCTCCACTGAGTCCATGGGGAGACTTAGGACCTGACCCTGCTGTCCTGCTGGGGCCAAGGCTGGGAAGGGAGGAAAGGAGGAAGGGAGTTTCACTCAGGCTGGTCCTGGTTCCTACAAGTTAGGGAAAGTTAGAGGGTAGAGGTAGAGAGTTCTCAGAACTGGCAGTGAGTCAGGGGCCCCTGGCGTGTATTGTTGGGGTGGGGGGGCACACTAACATGCCACTGCAGGGCAGCCGAGTTCTGAGGAGCTCCCTGGTACGTCAGATCCAGCAGCCAGGCAGGGCCCGGGGCGTCAGCTGTCCCCCAGCTCCGAATGCCTGCTCTTCCTCTTTCTTTCTTGTCTCCCTGTCTTGCTTTCGGTGCCTCTCTGTCCTTATCTCTCTGTCTCTCTGTCTCCCTTCTCTCATCTGTCTTCTTTCTTGCCTGGCGCTATCTCTCTGACAGTCTCTTCCTGTCAGTTTCCCTTTCAGTGTCTCTGTTTCACTCTCTCTCTGTTTTTCTGCCCTTCTGCCCCCACGCTCCTCATTAAGCCTCGCCATCTTTCTCTCTCTCTTTTGCTGTGGGAGTCAGCCAGTCTGTGTCGTTCCCCCCACCCCAACACTGACTGCATCCTCTCATCCAGGAAGAGGACTGTCCCTCTCCTCTTCCTGGGTCCCTTCTCGGGGTCTCTGACGGATAGCCTCTAAGCCTCTTGCTTGATCTGCTGAAAAGATGGTGGGGGAGGTTTGGGTGGAGTAGGGGGTGCTCAGGTGTGGAGATGGGTCAGAGGCTATGGGGGTGCAGAGATGCTAGTGTGTGTGTGTGTGTGTGTGTGTGTGTGTAGCAGTACAGGTGAGTCTGGGCATGTTTGGGAACACACATTTGCATGAGCACAGGCTTCGTCTGTGCTGGGTGGGGCAGTGGCAGGACGCGCCTCAGCCCTTTGTGGAAGCAAGTGTTTCAGCATGACCTCCCATTGGTGAGTGTGTGCCAGGGACGTCTGATGTAAAAGCAGAACACCGACCTGAGAATGGGCTTGTGTGTGTGCACGTGGGAGATGTATGCCAGCTTTGTTTCTGTGTGTCCCTGTGTAAGCGTGTTCATGCAGCACACGTTCATGTGTGCATGTGCATGAGTGTCATCTGTGCAGATGCTTACGCCTCTGTATGTGCGCATGTGCACACCTGGCTGGGTGTGTGTGTGTGCAAGAGGTATGTGAGAGTGCATATGTGTGAGGGTGTGGGGAATCCATGCATGTGTGTGCGCATGTGTGTTCATGGACATATGTGCACGTGTGACTTGAGGAGGTGCATCTCTATGCACATGTATGCATTTGTGTGTGCATGCCCGTGTAAGTGTGTATGCAGGTCTGAACAGGTGCACATGTGTGTGCCTGTGAGGTGCATGTGTATTGTGAGGGAGGCAGGCGGGTGGGCATGAGAACTCAAGTATGGGCCTGAGCCCTGTGACTCTTATTCCTTCTCCCCACAGTTACATTGAGAACCAGCAGCATCTGCAGCATCTGGAGCTCCGTGACCTGAGGGGACTGGGGGAGCTGAGAAACCTGTGAGGGAAATGGGGGCTGTGGGTGTGGAGCTCAGCATGGGCCCAGGAAGGGGTACCAGAAAGTCGGGGATGGCTCAAGGATCCGAGGGCCTGGGAGGACTTGAGGGGCTGAGGACTGAGGGACTGGGAGAGGTCAGGAAGCTCAGGGCTTTGAGGGGTCTCGGGTAGTTGAGGAAACAATGAGGGGCCTGGGGAGGGGGAGGAGCTCAGCATGGGGGACTGGAGGGCTGGGGTAGCAGGGAGAGCCAGGGACCCAGAAGAGCTGAGACCTGGGGACTGATCCTCCCGCACCCCTCCCCAGCACCATCGTGAAGAGTGGTCTCCGTTTCGTGGCGCCAGATGCCTTCCATTTCACTCCTCGGCTCAGTCGCCTGTGAGTGGCCAGTGCTGGATAGTGGGGGTGGGGGAGGACACCCAGACTTGGGCTGCTAATGGGCTTGGCTGTCCCCAGGGAATGATTATGAGGAGGGCCCAAGCCTTGTCAGGGAAGTCACCTCACCCATTCTCCTGGGGCTTCCTTCCACCTCCTGCAGGGATGGCATGCTCTCACCCTGCCAGCTAGAGGTCCTTCTTGCCGTCTCACTTCCATGCTTCATGCTTCATGCTGCAAGGACACTTCCCATAGGTGCCTGCCCTCTCTCTCTTCCCAGGGTTCAGACACGCAGCAGTGCAAAGGGAGCAAGCGGCAGGAGCAGAACTCCTGGGTTCTGGCTGGGACTCCATTTCCCACCCCCTCCGTGGTGGGAACGCATTGACTTGGCCCCTAGGACGGCCTGGGAGCTGGGGTGTTAGGTCTGTCACTATCACCCTCCTCATTCCTGGGGATCATAGCTATCCCTCCTGTAGAGCAGAGGACCCCAAACTTTTTGGCACCAGAGACTGGTTTCATGGAAGACAATTTGACCACGGATGGTGTGGGAGGGGAAGATGATTTCAGGATGAAACTGTCCCGCCTCAGATTATGAGGCAGTACTTAGAATCTCAAAAGGAGTGCACAACCTGGGTCCCCCGCAGGCGCAGTAGCTCACAGTATGGTTTGCTTTTATGAGACTCTAATGCTGCTGTTGATGGACAGGAGGCGGGGCTCCATCGGTAATGCGCACTTACCACTGCTCACCTCCCACTACTCAGTGGCCTCCTAACAGACCACATATTACCCTGTTTATAGCCCCTCTTCCTTGCTGACTTTTTCTTTATTTTTTTATTTTTATTTTTATTTTTGAGATGGAGTTTCGCTCTTGTTACCCAGGCTGGAGTGCAGTGGTGTGATCTCTGCTCACCGCAACCTCCGACCTCCGCCTCCTGGGTTCAGGCAATTCTCCTGCCTCAGCCTCCTGAGTAGCTGGGATTACAGGCACGCACCACCATGCCCAGCTAATTTTTTGTATTTTTAGTAGAGATGGGGTTTCACCATGTTGACCAGGATGGTCTCGATCTCTTGACCTAGTGATCCACCCGCCTCGGCCTCCCAAAGTGCTGGGATTACAGGCGTGAGCCACCCTGCCTGGCCTTTTTCTTTATTTTTTTAAGAGTCAGGTCGCCCTCTGTTACCCAGGCTGGAGAACAGTGGCATTATTACCAGTCTGTGGCCTGGGGATTGGGCACCCCTGCTGGAGGACAGAGCTGGTCATGGAAATGGCAGGAGAGACCATCAGAGTCCCTGGCAGCCCCTCCCTGGCCTTCTGAGGGCGGGAGTTCAGCTCCCCTGTCCCCCAACATGAGCAGGTGGAGAGACAGGAAAGATGGTGGGTCTGACATTCATGGAGGTGTGCTGGGTCCTCTAAACTCTCCTGGGTCCAGCAATTAAACAAAGTAAAATAAAGTGATTTCATATCACATCTATACTGGGGCTTCAGTTAAACATGTGCTCAATGACACTCTTCACAATCAACCTGGTGAGAGAGAGAGTGTTCTTGTCCCCATTTCATAGATGAGAATTCTGAGATCAGAGAGGTTGAGTTTCTGAACTGAGGTCACACAGCTGTGTGTGGCAGGACAGAACTTACACCCAGCTCTCTCCAGCTTGTGTCTTTGATCGCTGTGTGGTGGTACCTCTCCAACCCAGCCACCACACATTCTAGGTTGGCTAGGAAAGAAGAGGGGTCAGGGTAGGCCCTTCAGAGGCAGAGGATCCCAGCAGAGGCAGCCTGGCACAGAGCACCGGGCACTGGGGCTCCTACATCAGTTTCCTGTGTGGTCTGGAGCCGGGCGCCCTGCTGGACTCACTTTCTCCATCCCTACAATGAGGGGCTGGGGGAGTGGGTCCTTTCCTGCCTGACCTTTTAGTCCCTGAGGAGCTAGAAGGAGGAGGAGGAGGGGACCTGAGGAAGTGGTTTGAGTTCCTTGTGGTCAGGTAGGGGCAAGGGAGTGTGGGAGCCTCAGTCCTCCCTGTCTTCCTCTGGCCCCGTCCTGGGCTCTGTGGGGAGGGGAGCACAGATGGAGCCCTTCCCCCAGCTGTGGCCTCAGCACTTTGCCAGCTGGGGCCAAAGCGGTGGGGGAGGGAGGAACGGCTGTTCCTTCAGACCCTTCAGATCCTCCTCCCTGGGGTCTGGGGAGGGGGTTAAGTGGGGTTAACCCTTGTTGTTCCAGGGAGAGGAGTGGGACTCAAAACGCCCCCCTCACCCCTGTCTCCTCACCATCCACACACACTGCCTTCCAGGGCTTGTTCTGGTTGCCTAGGCTGGGAAGGGGGAGCCAGATGTCAACTTCCTTCTCTGCTCCTCCCCTCCCTCATTCTGGGTCAGAGTGAGGTCGAGTTGCTCAAGGGGTCTGTCTTGCTCTGTCTCCACGCCTGCAGGAATCTCTCCTTCAATGCTCTGGAGTCTCTCTCCTGGAAAACCGTGCAGGGCCTCTCCTTACAGGAACTGTGAGTGAGGGCACTTCCAGGGGCAAGAGCAGCAAGTGTGTGTGTGCCTGGGTGCACTTGGCTCTGTGGGATGGCATGTCACTGTGTCTGTGTGGCACTGCTGGGGGTCTCTGGGAATTGTTTGCATGCCAGTGAAACCCCAAACAAAGAAGAGGCTGCAGGACCACCCGTTATGGGGTCTGCTGCCCTGGGGAGCTGGCCTGGTTGGCTGATGCTGTGTGTGCTGGGCCTGGCTGAGCAGACCAAAGGCTCGCTGTGTGTTCACGGCACATCTGCCCACGTTCCCTGGGCACCCTGCACAGGGTGAGTGGGGCAGCAGGGGTCCATGTGGACCTGCAGGGCACTTAAGGCCTCTGGGTCACTCTGGGAGGCTGTGCCCTTCCCTCCTTGTCACCATGCTGAAGGCCCTTGCCTGGTTTGTCACCTGGGGAGCCTGGGGTGAGTGAGCCCATGCATCCCCCAGTCATCAGCTGGTTTCCACGTTCTGCATTTTATTTCTTTCACTTTTAAATTATTATTATTTGTTTTCTGGTAGAGATGGCATTTTGCCACGTTGCCCAGGTTGGTCTTGAACTCCTGGGCTCAAGCCATCCTCCGCCTCGACCTCCCAAAGTGCCGGATTAACAGGCGTGAGTCACTGCACCTGGCCTATTTCTTTGAATAACATCCTGTTACTGGAGTCAGAGAGAAAGACCTCTGTGTCCTCCCTTTCACCTGTAGACTGTTCTCCCTGCTGCCTAACTGCTCCCTCTTATCCCCTGTGGCCTCTCAGGCCCCTTCCCTGACTCTGTTGCTGTCCCCCATGCCCACCAGGGTCCTATCGGGGAACCCTCTGCACTGTTCCTGTGCCCTGCGCTGGCTACAGCGCTGGGAGGAGGAGGGACTGGGCGGAGTGCGTGAGCAGAAGCTGCAGTGTCATGGGCTGGGCCCCCTGTCCCATATGCCCAATGCCAGCTGTGGTAGGTGCCAGGTGTGGGAGGTGGCATAAGGGGGCTGGGAAAGAGAGCCACCTGCCTGGGGGAGAGGGCACTGAGCAAGCACAGAAAGGGCCTGGGGAATGGGCACTAGCAAGGCTGGGGGAAACTGCCTAGGTGACATGACCCGGGCTTTGGGTCATTGAGGAGGGTGGGGGAAGGAGCACCCTGCAGTGGAGTTCCACTCTCAGCTCTAACACCCCTTGGCCCTCGGGCATCCTGGATGGCCAGGTGTGCCCACGTTGAAGGTCCAGCTGCCCAACGCCTCCGTGGATGTGGGGGACGACGTGCCACTGCGTTGCCAGGTGGAGGGGCGGGGCCTGGAGCAGGCCGGCTGGATCCTCACGGAGCTGGAGCAGTCAGCCACAGTGATGGTGAGAAGCCCTTTGTCCGTAGCCCCCGAGAGGTCCCGGCAGGGCACAGGGGACAAAGACAGAAAGAGAGACACACTGCGGAGGAAAGAGACAACAAATAAGGAGCACACAGAGGTTGAGGGATGGACGCACGGAGATGATTTAGACCCACAGGGCTCAGGCCTGTGCTGTGGGCAGCCCAGGGCACCCACACACCCTCGGGGTGGTCACTGGACCCGCAGGGACCCCAAAGCCACAACAGAGCCCCAGGACTGGGGACCCCTTTCTGGAAACATGGTGCTGGCTGCAAGGGAGAGGGTCACAGAACCCTTACATGTTGGAGCTGAGAGGAACCCAATAGACCATCCCTCCCATACATCCTTTTTTTATATGAGGAAACTGAGACCCAAGGAGGAGGCACGATATCAGTGGTACTGCATCGTGGTGAGTTCTTGGGGGCCTCGAGGTCTTTTTTCTGGAGATTCTGGAAGCAGCATCCTCTTGGGCATGTAAGGAACATATGAATAGGGGAGGCCCAGGTCGGGCTCCAGCTCTCTCACTAATTAATTCGGATGACTTTCAGAAAAGTCCCTTCATTTGCCTGCACTTCGGTTTTCTTATCTGTAAGCTGAGGAGGTGGACATGATGGCCTTCTGATGTCCTGCCTGCCCTTGGGCGTTCTCTGGCCTCTATCTCTGTTATCCAGACATGTCTTTGGGCATCTTCCCAGGCCTTCCCCTTTGTCCTTAGGCTGGCGATGGGCAGATGAGAGTAGCCACAGCTAACTCTGGTGGCCTTGTTGACAAGGTCAACAGGAGCTGACAGTGGGCTGTGCCCACGTAAAAAACCGGCTTCCCCTGGGCAGCAGGAGTGGATGTGCAGGGGCTGGGGGTGTGTGCCTGGGGACTGGGAGCATGGTGTTGAGTTGGGAGCCTTCACTTTGGGGGTAGAGTCAACCCCAGAATTGCTGAAGGCACCTGGAACCACATTGAGGGAGGAGCCATGGGGGCACTGAGCAGGGGGCTTCAGACATGGTGGAGGGACCACTAGCCACTGAAAGCAAAGCTGCCTGGAGTGAGTGAAAGAGAGGGGAGCAGGCAGAGGCCATGCTCACGCATGGAGAGACCTTAGATCAACTCTCTGTTTGGGGCGATTCCAGGATTTGCTTTCTCTTTGAGAGACTTACATGTTTGCCACCATCTGTGTTGTCTAGAAACTACCTATACAGAAGTTGCACCCTACTGGGCACAGTGGCCCATACCTGTAATCCCAGTGCTTTGGGAGGTCAAGGAGGAAAAATCACTTGAGACCAGCCTGGGCAACAAAGCTAGAGCCTCTATCTCTCAATCTCTCTCTCTTTTTTTTTTTTTTGACAGTCTCGCTCTGATGCCCAGGCTGGAGTGCAGTGGCATGATCTCGGCTCACTGCAACCTCTGCCTCCCGGGTTCTGCCTCAGCCTCCCGAGTAGCTAGGACTACAGGTGTGCACCACCATGCCCGGCTAATTTTTGTATTATTAGTAGAGTCAGGGTTTCATCATATTGGCCAGGCTGGTCTCGAACTCCTGACCTTGTGATCCGCCTGCCTCAGCCTCCCAAAGTGCTGGGATTACAGGCATGAGCCACCGTGCCCGGCCAGAGCCTATCTTCTTAAAAAAAATATTACAGCCTAACTGGGTTAAACGGAGGGGAAAAGAGGCTGCTGCCCCTCAGTTAAGAGCATAAGGAATGGCAGAGCAGCTCAGGGGGAAGAGTTATTGACCCCACAGTAAGTGGAGGGGATGGGACAGCCAAGGATTCCAGGTGGCTGGAATCCAGAGCTTGCACAAAAGGCTGGAACTCTGCTGGAACCTTTGAACTCACATATTCCGGTGGAAGCCTGGGGAAACCATACCTCCTCTGGCATGTGGTCAAAGAATTTCACATTTATGAAGTTTTCAGATAAATGAGATTTGTCCACCACTTCATTGTTTTCATCATTTTGTGAAAATCTCTTTGTAAAATGTCAGAAGATAAGGCCGGGCGCGGTGGCTCAAGCCTGTAATCCCAGCACTTTGGGAGGCCGAGGCAGGTGAATCACGAGGTCAAGAGATTGAGACCATCCTGGTCAAAATGGTGAAACCCTGTCTCTACTACTAAAAAATACAAAAATTAGCTGGGCATGGTGACACGTGCCTGTAATCCCAGCTACTCGGGAGGCTGAGGCAGGAGAATTGCCTGAACCCAGGAGGCGGAGGTTGCGGTGAGCCGAGATCGCGCCATTGCACTCCAGCCTGGGTAACAAGAGCGAAACTCTGTCTCAAAAGAAACAAACAAACAAAAAACGAAAAACAAGCAAACAAAAAAAAGTCAGAAGATAATTTGCCCACCTCTTCAGCTTACAAAACAAACAAAAACCCACAGTTCAGCAAGATGAAGAATCGTCATAAGATCATGTAACTTATGACAAATCCATGGTTTCCTAGGAAGAGAAACTCGATCTGATTCAACCCTGATGATGATTCAGAATCAAGTCGCTTTGCCTGTCTAACCTCACCTCATCTGCTGCAGGAGACGTTGCTGCTGCTGTTGTTTCTAGCCGCCACCCTGCTATTTGCACTGTCTCTTTGTTTCTGATTTTCCTTAGGCTGAGATTCAGTTTGTTAGAACTGTGTGTAAAACGGGAATGAATGGACGTTGAGGTCCAAGTGGGGTCTCCAATGAACTGGGTACGAATTTGGTCCTTGGGATTCATGATGTCTGTTTAGCTGCTCAGGTGTCTGGTTTTAGTTTCAGTTTGGGGTATTTTGTGCCTATTTTGAGGTTATTGGTTTTATTTTAGTTTTTTCACATAATTAAATATGTGATTCAGGCTGGGTGCAGTGGTTCACACCTGTAATCCCAGCACTTTGGGAGGCTGAAGCCGGAGGATCTCTTGAGACCCTGTTCAAGACCAGCCTGGGCAGAACAGCAAGACTTGGTCTCTACAAAAATAAGACATAAAATAAAAAAATGTGATCCAGGAGATAGTCCACTTACAAACCTAAAGGAGGAAGGCCGTGCTCTGATACATTCTCTCCCACCTCTCTCTCCCTCTTCTTCTCTCCCAGTTCTCCTTTCCTTTCCATCTGGAGCCAGAGGGCCTCTCTTTCTGATTTCCCTCTCTCTTCCCTGATCTAGAAATCTGGGGCTCTGCCATCCCTGGGGCTGACCCTGGCCAATGTCACCCGTGACCTCAACAGGAAGAACGTGACGTGCTGGGCAGAGAACGATGTGGGCCGGGCAGAGGTCTCTGTTCAGGTCAACGTCTCCTGTGAGTCTCAGTGGTAGCTCCTGCACCCACCCCCCCACTCATCTCTTCTTCCCTCAAAAGAGGATGTAGGGTGGGGGGCTGGAGGAAAGGGTGGGATGTGCGTCTCCACAGCTGCTCCCTCCCAGCTGTTTCCAGATTCCCATGAAAACCCGATCCTTCGGGGGAAGTCCTGGGGGCTTGTCAAGGCCAGAGGGACGGAGATGGATTTCTTTCTGGCCTCCTGCCCAAGCCTTGCTACCTGAGGCCCTCAACGCCAGCTGCCCGGCTGTTCCCACTGCTCCAAAGTATTTCTTCATGCCTGTCCCTCTTCAGGTCCTTCTCCCAGAATCCTAGTTTCAAAAGAGGAAATTCTCCTCCTGAGTTCCTCTTTAGGCTTGCTGCCTAATTTCTCTAGGTCAGCCAACAAATTATCCTAAATTTTCTACTTTATACCAGTTTTCTTCTTTTGTTGTGAAATATACATAGAAATGTGCAAATATATATATATATACTTTAAACAATAACTACTCTTACCAGCAGCAGCATGGAAGACCCCTGCAACACCTCTCTCTAGTCACAATCCCGTCCCCCTCTTCCATCTCATGTTGACTTTTGTCAGGGTAACCACGTCCTTGCTTTTAAAAACAATTTTTCTCAAACATGCTTTCCTATCGGTATAGTTTAGTTTTACCTGTTCTTGTATATTATATAAATGGAATCCTACTGCATGTATTATTTCTGGTTTCTTTCACTCAACATTTTATAAGAATTCATCCACATTAAGAAAGTTGCTGTATGTGGTTTATGCAATTCATTGCTAAATAATATTCCTGTGTATGAATGCCACATATATATGTATATTTATCTATCTATATATTATACATACATATACTTTTTTTTCTATCATTGAGGGGCTTTTTGCTTTTAATGGATTGGGTCTATTTTAAAACCCATGTCTTTTTTCAAAGTGTGTGTGTGTGTGTGTGTGTGTGTGTGTGTGTGTTTCAAGAGATGGGGTCTCAGCCTGTTGCCCAGGCCAGAGTGCTTTGGGATCGTACTTTCTGCAGCCTTCAACTCCTGGCCTCAAGCAATCCTCCCACGTCAGGCTCCTGAGTAGCTGGGATTACAGGAACAAGTCACTGTGTGTGGCTTTTTCCAAATCATTTAACTGTACACATTTTTTGCTTGTTTGATTGTTAGGACCCCTGACCCTTCTTCAGCTTAGTTACAGTGACTTTTTCCAGATTCCTTACCCCAAAAACTCCATGTTTAATCATCATAAGCTGCTACCCACTTCTCTGGGGCTGTGACTTATATACGGCCTACCACTTATATTCTTTTTACTTTCTTTTCTTTTTTGTTTTGAGATGGAGTCTTGCTCTGTTGCCCAGGCTGGAGTGCAGTGGGTGATCTCGGTTCATTGCAATCTCTGCCTCCAGGGTTTCAAGCGATTCTCCTTCCTCAGCCTCCCCAGTAGCTGGGACTACAGGCACGTGCCACCATGCCTGGCTAGTTTTTGTATTTTTAGTGGAGACGGGGTTTCACCTGCTAGCCAGGATGGTTTCAATCTCCTGACCTTGTGCTCCTGTCCGCCTCTGCCTCCCAAAGTGCTGGGATTACAGGCATGAGTCACCCACCGCACCCGGCCGCTTGTTCTTTAAGCCTCTAAATTTTATGTGCCTGCTGCCCTGATTTATTTAAAATGTATTGTCAACTTTCTTCAAAACATCTCTCCTTGGTGAATTTCTTAGGGCCTGCTGACTCGCTTCTCTCAGGCCTGTCCCTTGGTTTCGGATTCTACTTGCTTTGCCCCTGGACTTGTCGGGTCTGTGCCAGGCTCCCTCCAGCCACCCTGACCTTCTATTACTCTTTCTGGCCCACAGTCCCGGCCAGCGTGGAGCTGCTGCACTCGGTGGAGATGCACCACTGGTGCATCCCTTCTCTGTGGACGGGCAACCGGCACCGTCTCTGCGCTGGCTCTTCAATGGTTCGGTGCTCAATGAGACCAGCTTCATCTTCACCGAGTTCCTGGAGCCGGCGGCCAATGAGACCGTGCGGCACGGCTGCCTGCGCCTCAACCAGCCCACCCACGTCAACAATGGCAACTACACGCTGCTGGCCACCAACCCCCTTGGCCAGGCCGCTGCCTCCATCATGGCGGCCTTCATGGACAACCCTTTCGAGTTCAACCCCGAGGACCCCATTCCTGGTGCGAGGGCCATCTGAACCCCGCCCCCAATCCCGGGCTCCACTGGGTTACAGCCAACTTCCTGCTATGGCCTTGAGCCCAGAAGTTGGAGTTCCTGGTTCCGGACAGAAAGGAGTCTGGAGTCCCAGTGTCCAGCTTACCCTCTCCCTGAGCCAGGACTCCTGAACTCCTGAGCTATTCCATCCTTGTGGGCTGGCTGAGGAGATAGCACCAGGGCGTCGCGGCCCAGCTGGAAAAGGGCCACAATGCATCTTCTCCCTTGAGGCCCAGCAGCCCACCTCCATCCCACCCTCGCCCCACGAAGGAAAGAGCCCCAGAGTAGGCAGGGGACTCACTGCTTTCCTCCTCCCTCTGACTGCTTTCTCTCCTCCCTCCTGCTGCAGTCTCCTTCTCGCCAGTGGGTGAGTAGCCCCAGGGTGGAGGGCAGGTTCTGCCTGGTCTCTGGCACCGAGGCCAGGGTAGAAGGCACAGCTGAGCTGATCCCCGAGAGGCCAGCTGGGGGCAAGGTTGGAGGGTGCTAGAGGCGACAGGGTGCGCCGAGGCCCACATTTCCTGTCCTGTGTCCCCACAGACACTAACAGCACATCTGGAGACCCAGTGGAGAAGAAGGACGAAACCCCTTTTGGGGGTGAGAGACGGAATAGAAGCTTGCGCAGACCTTGGGATGGGGAGGCTGGGTGGAGGCTCATCCGAGCATCATTTCTGGTCTGAGCTGAGAGATCGCTACCGTCTGGCCTGAGCTCTGTCTGCCACCCTCACAGCCAACTGCGTGGGGTCCCCAGGGGAGGGGAGGTGGGTCTGGAGGTCTGGCTCTGGGCTCTCCTGCAGGTTAAGATATGGCTTGCGATGGGCATCTCTGAGAGTGCAGGAGAAGCCCTGGGTCTAACTGCCTGCCTTCCTCTCCTCTGCCCCAGCAGGTCTCGGTGGCTGTAGGCCTGGCCGTCTTTGCCTGCCTCTTCCTTTCGACGCTGCTCCTTGTGCTCAACAAATGGGGACGGAGAACAAGTTTGGGATCAACCGTGAGTTGGAGCTGCACAGGGCTGTCTGTCTGTCTATCTGTCTGTTCTGGCTTGGTTTCTACGGGCTCTTCCTGACTATGTCTCTGTCTCGGGGCTGTCCACACGGGAGTTCCAGGGCGTGTGAGTGTGTGGGGGTATAAATGAAGGCCTGGCTGTGAGGCTTGTGTGAGTGTGTGTGTGAGTGTGTGTCGGGCTGGTGCTGGGGTCGTTTCAGAGGCGGCAGCTGCTAATTGGTGGCTGGATTGTAGTCAAGCACTAAGTGGGTCTGGGAGGTCTGGGCTCTGTGGGGGTGAGGGGGGAGTTCTTTGGTGCCCATGGGGCCAGGGGTGGGACAGGAGCCAGCACAGGGAGAGGCGGTGGTGCCCCCTCCCCCTCCCCCCTGCCTGCTATCTCACTCCCTAGCTCCTCAGTCTCTCCCCTGCAAGTTACAAGGTGGGGGTGACCAGGCATCCTGCAGGCAAGGATGGGAAGGGCCAAGGTGTGGGCAAACCCTTCATGTGTCTGTGTCTCCTCCCCAGGCCCGGCTGTGCTGGCTCCAGAGGACGGGCTGGCCATGTCCCTGCATTTCATGACATTGGGTGGCAGTTCCCTGTCCCCCACTGAGGGCAAAGGCTCTGGGCTCCAAGGCCACATCATTGAGAATCCACAATACTTCAGTGATGCCTGTGAGGGGCCATGCTGGGTCAAGGGCAGGGGCGAGTGTGTGTGTGTGTGTGTGCACGCAGGTGTGCGTGTGCTGCCCTTACCCACCAAAACCTGAACCATCCCTCCCTTTCCAACCCTATTCCAGCCATAGCCCCTGTCATATTCTCAGGCTGAGCTCAGACTGGCTCTTACTAGCAGCCCCACCTGGAGCCACAGCTAGCCCGAACCATGTCCTCTCTGGGCAGATGCAGCCCCACACTATGACATGGGGCTTGGTGAATTTCAGCCCCCACATAGCCCCTTGTCTGGGCAGCCTTGTGCAGCACACATCTCGGCCAAGACAGTCCCCCCTTACAACCCCAGCCCTCCTGAGACTGGGGCTCCACCTGACCCTGCAAGCCCCTCAGGTGTTCATCACATCAAGCGCCGGGACATCGTGCTCAAGTGGGAGCTGGGCGAGGGCGCCTTTGGGAAGGTCTTCCTTGCTGAGTGCCACAACCTCCTGCCTGAGCAGGACAAGATGCTGGTGGCCGTCAAGGTGAGACCCTGCCCAAGAGGCACCGCTGGCCTGGGTCCCACCCCCAGGAGCTCCATGACATCAGGACAGAGTGGGGACAGATGCCGAGGGCTGACGTGGCTGGAGTGTCACTGATGGCCAGCAGTGAGGGCTGGGCCCCCACCTAGTCCTGTCCCTGCCCCTTCCATGCAGGCCCTGAAGGAGGTGTCGGAGAGTGCCCGGCAGGACTTCCAGCGCGACGGCCGAGCTGCCACCAATGCTGCAGCACCAGCACATCGTGCGCTTCTTCGGGTCTGCACCGAGGCCGCCCCCTGCTCATGGTCTTTGAGTATATGCGGCACGGGGACCTCAACCGCTCCTCCGGTACCAGTCCCTGGCTCTGGGCCCCGTCATCCCTCCCCGATAAGCACAACCCTGCTTGTCTTTCCAACCAAGGGGAGACACCAAGGAGGATCAGGAGGCACATTCCCATCCCGAGTCCCAGGGAGCTCTGAGACGATAGAGGAGGCAGATGTGTGAATGGGGGGTAACTCTTGCAAAGGACAAGTGTCAGTAAGTCAGCGGGGTTGCGATGGCCAAGACCATGAGCTAAAACTCTGGGTGAGTGGGCTTCGCAGAAGGTGTATGTGCATGTGTGTGGCACACAAGGGCCAGGGCCTGTAAGGGTGGCAGTTTAATAATGACAATAGGAACAGTAACGAGCACGGATAAGGCACCTTCCATGTTCAGAGTGCTGTTATATCCTTACAATTTATTCTTTTTTATTTTTAAAAAGGTATTATGTTATTGTTTTAGAGCGGGTCTTGCTCTCTTGCCTAGGCTGGAGTGCAGCCTCAGACCCCTGGGCTCAAGCGATTCTCCCACCTCAGCCTCCCAGTAGCTGGGGCTACGGGTGCACCTCACTGCACCTGGCTCTACAATTCGTTCTTATTATGGTTCTGTGTGCTGGTACAAAATATCTTGTACAGTAATACAAACATGTATTTATTTTTATGGCCTCCAGGCATATATTGCAATTATACTTGAAGCCACGTTACAAAAAAATTCATTTCTTTGGCTTTGGACAGAACAACTCTGATATGTTCTCTATTTGTGCTGATAATTTTCATAGCTTCGAGAAACGTGCCTGTTTCACAGATATAAGCCTTAGAGAGTTCTGAGACCTTGCCTGAGTGCATACAGGTGGCGAAATGGTCCAGGGGTCGTGTGACCACGGGCACAGCTCCTACTCTCAACCCCTATGCGATGGGCATCGGTTCCCTCGGTGGAGTCCTTCCCTGATGAGATCGCTCCCGTGAGGATGGGGCTGTGTTTGTAAGGCAGGGAGAAGAGCGGTTTGGAATCAGCTGCCACTTAAGAGCTGAGCCTTTTTTGCCAAGTAACTTTCTTTTCTGACCTCACTTTCCTCACCAGTCAGAGGGACAATGAGCAGGGGCTGTGGATCTGGAATGAGCAAACTGCTGTGTGGTTGGGAGTGATGGATCATTTATGCAGTCAGGCTGCTGCAGACTCAGATAGGAGGGACCCCTGAGTCTTGAGCTTATCCTGTGGACCAGGAGGGAGCAGGTGTAGAGCAGGAGGTGAGGCCAGACCCAAGGTTGAGTGTGGAGGAGGATCAGCACAGAGGAGCAGGAGAAGGCCAGGGAGGAGCCTATCTCTTTGCTCCAAGACATGGTGCAGGCTCCAGTGCTGGTCTTGGGGGACGAAGGCTAGGGAGATACCACTATCTGGGCCCCAGGCTATGGGAGATGAGGCTCTGATGCTGGATGGACCACTGGGGGAATCCATGGAGGGAATCACTGATGCTCACAGATGAGTCTGGAAGACTTCCTTAGGAGGGGCCATCTGTTCCTTCTCCCCTCCGGGCCTTTGCCCTTCCAGTTCCCTCCGCCTGGTGCGCTGTTCCTCCCTCCTCCATAGAAAGAAGGAGACAGACACACAGACTCTACCCCTCCCTGCCTCAGCTCCCTTCCTGTGGCTTCAGGACTTGACTCTGAGTTTAGGTGTCCCTCCTCTAGTAAGCCTTCCCTGGTTTCTTTCATTTGCCACCCATGGTGCCCGTCAGGGCCCCTCACACCTGCACTGCCATGGACCGCTTATCCGCCTCACACTCACACTGTAGCCCCTGTGCTTGGCACACTGGAAGTGTTTGACAACTGCCTCGACTAAACGAATGAGAAGATTGGCTAGCAGGAAAGGGCTTTCCCTGGCAAAGTGGTCAGCTCAGGCAAAGGTCCAGGTAGAATGAACATAGGGGAATACAGATGATGGCGGGACTTACCCGAGTGCTCGCTGTGGGGGGAGGCGGGGCATCCTGGACACCTGGAAAGGAAGGAAGACCCTGTACGAATGGTGGGACACTGAGGGCAGAGGGGAGAAAGACAGGACAATCAAGGACTCTCCGGTTTCAGGGTCTGCCTGGGGTGGGGGAGGGTCTTTCCCTGAGGCAGGGGCAGGTTGGGTAAAGACGCTGAGCTCTGATTGGCAAGGGCTGAGTCTGCGTGTCTATGCAAGGGATGTAGGTGCCAGTGGGCATCTCGGAGTTCAAGGCGCTGCCAGAGAGGAAGGCCACAGATGTGGGAACTGTGGGCTGTCTCTGGCAGGAGCTCTGGAGGGGGGCATGCCTGTTCTGCTCCTCCATCCCGTCCCTCCGGACCGCTGCCTCTACTGTCTGTCCTCCACTTCCGGAAACCCAGCCTCCTCTCCTATCACACCGCCCGCTGGGGATCACCTTCCTCAGGCTCCTGGGGGTTCTGACTTCCCAGCCTATCCCTTCTCCTTTACTTGTTCACAGAT